TATAGTGAAAGTTTGTAGAAGGTGGAACAATTTTCCTAGGCCATAACGTTTTGTCATGCATCTATTCATAATACTTGTATTTTGTGTTATAAATTCAGGATTTATGAACCACAAATTTTTTAAAGTTGTGAATTTACTTCTGAAGACTTTCTTAAGGGAAACCCTGCATTCTTTTTTCCCATAATCATGACTTGATTCAGACAAAGTAGCAGCTCGAGTTGCACTTTCCATTTTCTGCTTTGCTTTAGGGTTGTGGTTTGATGATTCACCATACTGTTTTAATACCAACTTTAAACTCTCAGAATCAAATACGTGATCTGTGCAGATGTAAACAGTTTCAAGCTGTACAGATCCCTGCACGAGTCATTTATTTTTATTGAACTTTTTGGGCGGGGTTGTTGACTTGTTGTTGCGTTTTATTAAATTTAACAATTTTCTCAGCTAAAATATACATTCTGAGAAGTTACATGTTGCAGTTAAAACTTATACATATCACCTGTCAATATCAATTGCTGACATTTTTCTTTCCTAAATTGATATTTCGAGCTCAGAAAATTTCTCCCAATTAATCCGAATTTTGTGTTCTAATACAGGTCCAAGAATTACTATTCCAAGAAGTCTCAGATGGGCTTCATGTGGAGCAATTTCAGTGAGCTCAAGCTCAGCCTTGCTGGTGCGCCTCTTTAGTCCGGAATGTGAACCTCAGAATATCGCTGCTTATGACAACCTAAAGTGATTGCATTCTTCTTTTTACAACTCTCAGATTTTAGAATTGATTGATGGAGCTATGCATTTTGTTATCCCCATCTGTTAGTGTCACAAAACCATTTTGCCTTGGCTTTATCCCAAAACAAAGTGATTCAGACGATAATGATGTATTTCATAACAATTTGACTGATTATGTGGGTTATGCAAATGATATCCATGAACTTATCCCTGATTTGCTTCAGTCATTTGAAACAGTTTATATCAGTTACCCTTTTGTGACATCTCTTACTGGATGAGCCTGTTACATGCAGATACAACTGGGTTCTGTGGGTCTATCATGTTTCCTATATTGAATACTCGACAAATTAGTGTTGCTGGCAATTATTTCTAGTTATACGTTTAGGAATGCTACAGGAACTATTTTGGCATTACCGTACTCTGACTGGGATAAGTTTTGTTACTCTTTCATTTTGTTGAAACCTGCAATAGTTCATGCTGACTGCTGTGTATCAATGACACAGTTCTCCTCCCTGTCCTTGATTGAGACATGCAGTGAAAGAAAAATAACTTACATTGGCACTCTTTGGAGTTGAATACACAGAATTTCACATAAACTAGGATGATTCAATTCTTTGAAGAATGCAATAAATGGAGGGGGAAAAGATCGATTTAGAAATATACCAGATGTGCAGCAAATGCACCCCTATAAACAAATGCAACTATCCAACACCATTAAGAAGGGGCTTCAAGAAAAATTAAACAATTTAATTGCTGCAAATAATCTGTAAGCCATTACTTAACTCAATGGGTAACTTCTTTTCTTAAAGAAGACACTTTCGGCATTATTTTACTTGTTTACAAGAATTTACAGCGGATTTCAAACTTTTTTAGCTTGCTATGCCAAGGAAGCACTGACCAATTCCCACGATTGCAAGAAAAAACAACATATATTCAGAAAAAATGACAAGAATTAAACATATTTGGACAAAATACACATCTCTCAATGGGAATTTGAATTTTCTGTCTTTGAACTCAACACATCTGTAGAGCCATGCTCAAGCTCCCATGATGCCAATATATTCCAAAGGACTAACCAAACGGATGGCATCATATCTTTGAGGCCTCAAATTATCATTTTGATAGCATGGCGATGAATCATCTGGTAGTTCTTTCAGAGCCTCACACAACTCAGGAGAGACCATGTTCGAATAACCATTGATATATGAGCACTTCCACCTATCATTCTTAGTTACATTGAGAACGATATTGGAGAGACAAATGTTGGTGAACTCATCCCCTTGGATTCCTTCCAATACACCCGCAACTCTTATATTTTCACCGATAACGTCTCATCATCTGGGTGCTCACCATAATGGCCTTGGATCATGATCGCTATATCAACATCTTTCATTGTCATATTAGATATATAGATGTCTCGAACATAGCCACCTCGCCCTTTAGAAGTTTTTATTCCGATGCCATGCTTTGAATTGAAGATATGGATGTCTTCAGCATTAACATTTGATATACCACCAGACATCTCACTGCCAAAGGCAATAGCTGTGCCTGATTTTGTTTCTCCGGTTATGCGACAGATACTGATGTTGTAGCTTGGTCGAGCAAAGGAAATTCCATATTCATCCCATCCACTCTTTATGACTATTAGGTCATTGCCTGTGCTGATGTAGCAGTCCTCAATGCAGACGTTGTTAGAAGAGTCTGATAGTAAAAAGTTTTGTAGTTTTAGTAGAATGGTTTTGAAAGTTTCCATAAAAAAGGGTAGATTTCAGAAAGACCAGACAAGGTTGGAACATTTTGAGATAACTACCAAAAGTTTGGAATTGTCACTTATTCCCCAAAACTCTACTTTTCTGAATCTATTTTCAAAACCCCTTTTTGGAGGTTATGTGAGATTTTTCTGGGAGTCGAGTGACATTTCCAAACTTTTTGAGGGAAATATCAAAATGGGGCAAACTGCTTGGGATTTTGTGAAATTTAGCCTAAAATAAAACTGCGGAGTGGTGAAAGTTTAGGTACGACCAGAAATAACTATCGATTTGCATGCATGTCTTGTTGAATGATAAGGTGTAAGCAAACACATAAGATTGGAATCAAGTATGTTTCTCTGAATTACTCCTTAAATGATCATGTCAGGGAGATAAAAGAGGTTGCCACACCAACTTGTGAGTACTATAAGTAGTTCATGGTGGTAACGTAAAAGAACTTTGAGATGACTCATGATTTCTGCATGTCCTAATTAATCGTGATTTCTATCAAGTCTTGAAGTTCAGGATTAAAATCATTAAACAACGACTGTGTATTTAGTGGACAGTGGTAGGAATCAAATGGAGCTATCTCTTATACATTTGTTGATCATTAAAGCTAGATGTATCAATTGGAATCTGCAAGTCATTCAATTTATTTAGGAAAGAGTTTTTCACCTGAGGTAGCAGCCTTTTCAAACAAGTGCATAAATTTCTCTAAGGATCTTGTTCTAGATACCAGATAGAGATAACAGCTACATGAAACTTAAATAATTCTTTTATCTTGAAATCAAATTTGCACACAGTTTCACTTTTGCAATAAAGAAATTGGGCACTTAGTATTCCTAACTTATGATATATATACATATAAGTATTTCATTTTAGTAGAAATATATTATGACATTCCGTTAGTAGACACTAGAAAGAAACAATAAGAAACATATAATTATATGACATAGACCCTTCATTTTCTGCCAAATATTTGGACATAAGAATGAAACTATTCAGTAAACACTTCAAAAAATCCTTTGTTTGATGTTGGAAACATTAACATGAGATAAATTTCTTTTTAAATTTTAACAAATAAATTTTCAAAACTTACTGATCTTTACCTGGATCAATTGCATCAGTGTTTGGCGAATCAGGAGGGGCCAGGATAGTGACATTCTTGATGAACACTTGGCTGTTCACTCAAGAAAAAACATTCTCAAATTATAAAGGTGACAAGGGAACAGAACCAGAATGTGTAGCTAACTAACCTGCAGTATACAGGGTGAATCGCCCCAAAGGGGGAGTTTGCGAAAGTAAGATTTAAGATGACAATCCCAGTTGAATACATAAATTCAACAAGATGAGGCCGCGTATAATCCAGAGTCTTATTATTGAATGAATCCCACCAAAAGCTCCCTTGTCCATCAATGGTTCCGTTGCTGCCTGTATAAGAAAAGGGTACTGAAATCACTCAGAAATCTTCAGTTTATTATGAATTAATGAGTAATCTTAGTATAGAGCGTATGATATTAATCAAACCTGTTATTACAACGTCTGTCAAATTATATCCATGAACGAGACTCTCGTGTCTTCCACCAGGTAGTTCTCGACCTCGTCCATATGAAGGCAGTGGATCAATGACTGGCCAATGAGAAGGATCCTAGAGAAAGATATACGAAAAGAAAGGGGGGAAATTATCAAAAAAATGCTAGTCATATGCGAAACCTGTAGTACTTGGGGATGCAGTAGTTCTATGTCGGATATGTATCGGGTACCAAAATTATGGTGCTCGGATATGTGCAGTATACCCCAAATATGTCTCCAAAATTTATATGGGATACAAGATGTACCAGATCAGATATAATCTGGGATGTATCAGTTATGTTTCAAACTAAGAAATGAATTAGCATTCAAGCCTTTAATATGGTTTAGGTTGTTTCATCCTGTCCATCTTCTTTATAAATAAGCAAGTTCAAGTGGCAATGCATAAATACAGGTTGCTAAGTTATTTATAGCATTTCTAGTCTAGTTTGCAAGAAATATGTACTTGTTAAATGATGATTAGTTTTCAGACTCAGTGTTGCTTGTAGAATTTGAATGTGTAGTGTGCTATTGGTCTCTTATTAAATTTTAGAGTTAACCGTGGATAGGCCCCTCTATTGTGTTGTTGTCTTGAACTTAGTCCCTCTCTAATTTCATTTTTGCTGATGTGATTTTTTTTTTTTTGACTCTTTATGCTCAGAGAAAAAAAAAGTTTTCTGAGAAATAGGCACCACGAGGGTAAAAGAGTCAAACAAAATCACTCACGGGTCTATCTACAAATATAAAGCAAGCGGGGTAGTGAGTTCAAACCAGCGACACTATAGGTTGTCTATCTGCAATTAACCCCAAATCCATCAAGGGGTCTATCTACAAAAATAAAACTAGAGGGTAGTAACTTCAAACCAGTGACGCTATAGGTTGCCTATCAGCAATTAACCCTAAATTTTAGGTCTTTATTCGTTTCTTTACACTTCATATGCTAGATAAAACTATATGTCACATAACTAAGACGCATTCACATGTTTATGTTTTTTTCTTCTCGTGTGGTATTTCGAGAATGACGTATCCCTTAGTAAGTCATGCTCATTGCATCGTAACAAAGATATACTAAAGGGAAAGTTTTTAAAATAGACCACTTTTGCTAAATATTTAGCAAAATAGACCACTTTGTTAAATATTTAGCAAAATAGACCTCTTTTTGGCCAATAGGCGAAAAAGAAGTCGATTTTGAAAAACAAGGCTCAGAAAACATACGGGGCTACTAATCCCGTATGTTTTCTGAGCCTTGTTTTTCAAAATGGCGGTGAGTAAGTTGGTTCTAAACATACGGGACTAGTAGTCCCGTATGTTTTCTAAGCCCTATTTTTCAAAATCGATATTTTTTGGTCTATTGGCCAAAAAGAGGTCTATTTTGCTAAATATTTAGTAAAGTGATCTATTTTACTAAATATTTAGCAAAAAATGTCTATTTTAAAAAAATTTCCCCTATACTAAATTCATCCAGAAATTTGATTCGACATCCCTAAATTACTCCATAACATCTACTCAAGTTAAACAATAGAATTGGCAGATATATGAACTAAGTACTTCAAAAAAAAAAAACCCCTAAATAACAAAGATCTATTGAAGCTCACAGTGGATCCAAGAATCACTGCATCCTTATCCAAGGACAATGTGAGGTGGCTGATGAGCATAAAACTACCCGTCAGCCATCTCCCGGCCGGAACAAAGAGCTGGGCCCCACCCTTATCGGCAAATGAGTTGAGGTAGAAGATAGCGTTCTCAAAGGCCTTGGTATTGAGAGTCACGCCGTCCCCTACAGCTCCGAACTCAGTTACTGAGACGCTGTGGGGACGATATAACTTCGATTTCGTGCTCTTGCAATCAAATCTATGTGAGGCTGCTGCCCATGGGGCTTCACCAATCAATGCCAGAAGCAGAACAACTTCAAACAACTGGGAGGAAAATAATAACAGTTTGTATCAGTAGCTTGAATTGGCTTGTAACCGAGACCCTTAAGCAACGTTTTCTTGTAGATGGGAAAAAGAAAACAGTAAACCCATTAAGATCTTAGACTGAAATAATCTTGAAATGCCCAAATTCCACTTCCTTATTAGCGCTAAGCACGATAGAAAGGAGGAGGGAATTAATCCTTTACCCATCAAAAGAAAATCGATTCTCAACACTCATCAAGGAAAACAATTTGAAAGCAAAAAAAAAATTCTAGATAAGAAAACTTAAACAAGAAAATAGGGAACCCTACAAAAAAAGATAAAAAAAACTTGATATTATCAGAGCCCAGTTCTACATTATCATCTTAGATTTTATAGCTGTATGAAGAAGAAGAAGAAGAAGAAGAAGAAGAAGACAATTGAAAAGTTAACCCGCCCCCAAAAAAAGCACTATCTTAATCACTAATTTTGTTCGCTCCACTGTTGGCTAAGCAACAAAAATTAGTATCCAAAAAAAAAAAAAAAATCACAGTGAATAAAGTAGCAAATTATGATGAAAGAAAGAGAATCTAAAGAGCATGCAGAGCAGAGCAGAGGCTTACAGCCTTAGATCTCTTCATATGACTCAAGGATCCGGACTCCCCAGCGACTAAACCAGAAAAAGATCAGAGAAATCCCTTAAATAAAGAAGAAGAAGAAAAATCAAAATTGAAGAGCACCCTCCTCAAAATTTCTAAGAAACTAGCTCCCAGTGCTCCCAATCAAAAACCCAGCATCAAAACAAGAATCCAAGTGATTTGATGTTCGATTTCATAAGGAGTCATGTCAGTGACACCTCCTGCTCTCCCAAAGAAGCAACGGTTACGGCTTTGGAACTGGCCTTTTGTCTTCAGCTGCGCCCCCCGCCCCTCAATTAAAAAACAAAACCCAGGCCTTTGAACTCCCTTTTCTCACAAAACCGCTGGCCAAAGGGAGGAAAACTGAACAGAACCCAGATGTGGGGTTTTTTTTTTTTTTTTAAAAAAATTTCTTCTCTTTTCTTTCTGTTGAGATTGAGATTTCCGCCAGTAGAAAGATTATAAACGGTCAAAAAAGGAAATTTCAAAATGATGCTGTTAGGATATCTCTTGAGAGAGTATTAAACAAGTATTAGATGGCCTTTTTCCCTTGTAAGCCACTCTTAATTAAGTTTTAGTGTAGTATCATGTCACTGTACAAAGTTCGATTTGATTTTGATTTTGATTTTGATTCACACATATGGGAAATGGGAAGCACAAGGATTGGGATCTGACCCAATTGGGATCTCCACAACATTTGGAAGCAGCACTAACCAAAGCAGATCGTCTACCCTCTGTTGGATCTGGGTGGAGTCATTATAAGAATCGAGTGAGTGTTGGTTTCATGCCTAGCTTTACTTAACAGTCTACGCTCCTTGGGCCCCTCTTTGTTGTTAGGGGTCATTATTTGCTAAGTAACATTTTTGAGGTTAGCTTGGGTAACTTGAGTGGAAAGAGGTCTTTAAAAAAAAAAATTTTGATATTGACCCCTTACATCTTTCATATGTTTTAAACTTAAAATTTTTAACTTGGGTTCTCGCTTACGCCATTTTCTTTTAAGTTTATGTCTGAACTCAAACATGTTTGTAAACTCAAAACTCGTGTAAAATCCAAACGCTCTGCTTGCCCCCTAAAGAGATGCCCTTCATCCTAGCACGTTTTCGAAATACATGAGAGGGAGATGGAAGTTTGTGATTTGACCGAGAATGGATGAACGGAGGGTAAACCGGTAATCAACAGTGTTGGATTAATCACTAGCCCAACAAGAATAAGGAAATTGGATGAAAAAAAGCTAATAGAGGAATATATTTTGAGGAAGGCCGACGATTTGAGGAACTAAGTTGAAAATATAAAATAATTACGAGACCATATCTAAACAACCCCAAAATAATCTTTTTGTCCACAATCTATTATTCATTGAACATATACAAGAAGGACAGTACTAACAAATTTACAAATCTACAATTTTTTTTGCTTCTGTTCAACCACGAGGAACATGAATGGGGAGTTCTTTGTGAATTACTATTAACTTTGACCAGTCATTAAGAATCTCATATATATATTTTTTAATTCTAGAAGCATAAAATAGGTTGAGATTTATAGTCTGATTACCACTACTCATCGAAGAAGCAAGTAGAAAAGTCTTTTATAATAGCAGCAACATTAATGTTGCTTATGCTTCCTTATCGCCTAGATATCAAGAGTCGGTTCCTTATGATGGATTGTGAGATCACACATTCATACGTTTGAACTTAGCCTCGCTACAATACAATGGGCGGACAAAGCCCAAACTCTGTCCAATTCTTATGTCCTGAATTGATGAATCGAGACACGAGGACGAATGGAGTGTGGATTAAGCATGAGATAAGATTTCTACTAATCCAAATTAGACAGCTGCGAGATAGCAACACGGTCAAATCAAATTAAATGTTTCATATATGCATCATGCACCATTTACAAGTATCTTGAAGATGAATAAATTGACTAATAACATGGTTTTCCCCTCATCACAATGTAGGGTGGCATTAGTATTGTACTATGTAGATTAATTTAACTTAATAGTTGCTTCACGGTACCTTAAAGAATCATTTTCCTAATATGTCAATGAGCACTAGAAATACGAAGCTTTATCCGTTGAGGGGCCAAGGGGGGTTTAACCGGACATGAACATAAAAAGGTGCCCCCTCCTTCTTCTGTACACTATACATTCATTCTCATGACAGGGGGACCTTTGGGATCCAATGTTCAAGCATAAAAAAAATACTACCATTTAATAGTGCTTTTGATTTTGATTTTGATTATTTTGAGAAAAACCCCCTTCAATTATGAAGTGTCTCACAAAACTCAATATTAACACTATTCTCATAGCATCCTTACGCAAGTTATCTCAAAATATAGAATGATCTAAATATCTTTTGGAGAAAAAACTACATTAGTTAAACAAATCTTCCAACCGATAAAAAGTGACTTTGAGCCATTTCCTAGTCTTCCTCTCCCTCCCTCCCTCCCTCCTCCCTTTGAAAATCTAGGCTATTTTTTTTAAATGGTTAAAGAATATCTCAGTCGTTTTAAGTCACACGCTTGTAACATGACATGTTCAACTTAAAGACGTATTATGTTAGTTATAGGGGTTAAGTGAGAAAATTTTAGGAGTTTCTCAATTTTTCAAAGTTGAGGGTGGTAATACACAACAACCTCGACTTTGAGAGAGTTTTTTTTACTCAAATCAAAGTAGTTTAGGGGTTTTTTTGATACATGCCCATACTTGAGGGTGGTTTTCTAAAAATCAACCCTAAAAATGGTATTCTTTTAATATTACTCCTTTACATCTTTCGTATTAAACATAGTCCCTCAAATAGTTGATATTGGCATTAGGTCCCTAAACTTTTATGATAATTTGAAAATCGTCTCCCCGAAATCATTGAAATTTCTATTAGATCCTCCAAATTTTGAGTTACTTGAAATTAGTTCCTTCAATTAAAAGTAGATATAGCAACTATAAGGATTATTGTTAAACAATTTATGAGAACTGGGGGAGTCTTATAGCAAATTCAATCGTTTGAGGGACTACTTTTTAATAGCTTAAGAACTGGGCCCCTAGCAGTTTCAATAATGTGAGGGAATAATTTTTTCAGAACATGAAAGATTTAAGGGAGTAATATGAAAACGATCCAAAAGAGTTTGGAGTTGTAGAATCAATGTAGATCAATATATACCTTAAGAAAACCCACAATCGTTGAAAACATTTTCCGAAGTTAGCTTTTTCTTCTTAATTGTTATCTCATTAATTGTTCATGACAGTATACACCTTTGCTCGTGTGCCATGGACACCGCATGTTCATCATCTCCACGGACCACAGACAGTGATGTAGCTGAGTCGCTGACCACCAACTTGCTTTAATTTCCAAAGAGAAAAATTACCATGTATGATATTAGGATTTTTAATTAAAATATATTTGTAGATTTTTTAACAATATCAGGCTAGATTATCAAGTTAGGACTTTTGGTGACCATTGATTATTTTGATTGACATTCTCTTTTGAAAAAGTTTTGCTAGAGGGACCCAAAATATGGGACCAATAAAGAGGACAAGTGAGGTGTCCCCCTCCTATTGGATAATGAGTTGGTCATCATTAATGATGGCCAACTCATTATCCAATAAGAGGGGGACACCTCACTTGTCCCTTTTATTGGTCCCATATTTTGGGTCCTTAAAGAATTTTTCCTTTTGAAAATCTAATAACATTTCCGACACTGCTCCACTTCCTTCAATCTGTTTAGCAAATAATTGCATGGTGGAGAAATATCTAGTTTTAATTATTATTATTATTATTACTACCGTTATTATTTTATACAAATAAAATTTGAGCGCTGCTACAGGAACCCAAAATATGAGACCAAGTGAGTGGACATGTGAGGTGTCCCCTCCCTATTGCATAATGAGCTGACATGACCAGATCATTATGCAAAAGGGAGGGGACACCTCACATGTCCCATCCCTTTATCTCATATTTTGGATCCTTAAGTTATTTTCATAAAATTTAGAAAAATAAACACCACATGAGAGGTAAAGGGACAAAAATGCAGGTGTACACCATAAATGAGCTGACTTGGATGATATCTCACATGGTCACTTATGTGATAAATTTTGTGACCATCTACACTTTTTTTTTTTTTTGAGGTTTGGGCCATGAACCTCATGGTATCTCCCATGTTTTCATCCTTGTAAGAAAATGAAAATAGTAAGGTGAGGACATCATCTAATGAGGCCAACGTATCATTAGCTATATAGTTCCACACAGGGATCTATCTGCCTTCCCCTTTGTTTTTTGTACTAAATTCTACAAAATATTTCACTGTTCTTGTTCAACCCCATATCATATCAGATCACATAATAAATCTTCAAACGAGGCAACATGGCCTCACCTATTATTACGTCTCAATCACATCACATGCATTCGAGGAGACTCACATGTGCCTCGGTTGGCGAACATCTATCTACATGCGCTACTAGCTTCGTGTAAGCAATAATGTATATATCAAAAAGCTCGCTGAAAGTAATAATAAATAAAGAATCAGAAAACCATTCTCAAAATAATAAATGAATCGAGAGCATAGGAATTTGGGCCATGCACGTTATAACGCGCAATGAAGAGAAAGCCCATAGTGCTACGAGTAAATTTAGCCCAGAATGTTTCTCGGTCAATAAATGCAACTAGCAGTACTCATTACGTGGTCGTCGTTGTATCCGATTGCAATTCTAATCAATGACCAAATAACGCATTGAACTTAACTAAACATAATATCTCCTCTCTTAATCCTCACTAATTACCACTAATCACATAATCTAAACGTTACACCTGTCCGTCTCCTTCTACGTATCACTATAAATTAGCACCAAATCCCTACCAAATCTCATACCTAAACTCCAACCTCTAACCAACATGGCAAAAATTCAGCCATACATCATCCTCTCATTCCTCTTCCTAGCCTCCCCTGCGTGGGCCCGGCCCAGTCGATCCTCACCAAGGAGAACCAAGGCCTTTCCCGGTTGCCTCACCAAGGAGAACAACGGGGGGTAAAACGGACCAATTTGCAAATATCCAGAAAAAAGAGGACTAATTTGTAAATTTTCGAAAATGTCAAAAAAAAATTGCTCACCAGCATATGAGGGAGGCGCGCCATCAACCGATGCAGCAGGAAAACGACCTCTCGATACTCGCGACATAATGGCCTACAGAAAAAGAATTCAAGAGGTCAGATCTAGAAATAAAAATCACTTTTTTATCCCCTAAAAAGGCGAGCTTGAGGCATCAAATCACTCCCTCAACCCTTATATGCGATCCCGCTATTCCATACACTAGATCAAACATGAAATAGATCAAGATTATGGAGATATACCTGAGGGGAAGCTCGAGGATCCGACAAAAATTAGATCTTGGAAGTGCTCGAACCACGCGCTCGAGGGGCTCGAAGGAAAGTCTAAATATGGAAGTTTCGAGGGATTTCTCAGTCAAGGATCAAAAGGAAGGATGAATCTAAGACGAAGATCGAGTTTTGAGGGAGAACGGAGGCTCGAGGGAAGAGAAATTCAAAAAGGAGGCAAAAGGGGGGGCCGGCCCTAGGGTGAAGAAAAAGAAAAGAAAAAGAAACCCTTCTTATATAGGGTGAACCGGTTTTGGGCCGAACCGAACCGAACCGAACCGGACCAGACCCAATTCAAACCAAAACTCAAATTGAAGTCGAACCGAGCATCGAAACGACTTCAAATCGAGCGACGATTCAACCCATCACTTACTCACTCTTCTCCTACATGTTCGGAAGAGTCGGAGGATTTTTTGAACCGATTTACTGCCATTTTTGGCTCATTTTAAGCCGGTTCAGCGCATTTGGGCGCAGAAAACACTCCGAAAAGTATACGAGTATAAACTGCCTACAGGCCGATGGAACGGCCCAATGCTGGGACTCACTGATGGAGCTCAAATCGTGCAGTGGTGAAGTCGTTCTCTTTTTTGTCAACGGCGAGACGTATCTCGGTCCAAGCTGTTGTCGGGCAATTCGGGTCATCGAGCACAAGTGTTGGGCCGCTGATGCTATGTTAACAACGTTGGGCTTCACTGCTGAGGAGGGTGATGTGCTTAGGGGCTTCTGTGATGCCGAGGCTTCGGGCTCCGGCCCAGCTGCTAATCATGGGCCGGCAAATTGATAATGTTGAAGCGTGGGTCTGGTAGATTAGTATCTGAGTTGAGTTCGGCCTGTCTGGTTTGCTTGAGTGTGTGAACTCTGTGCATTGTCAGTTGCTAGGGAGGCGCCCTTTGTTTGTCTACGTGGTTTGGTAGTATACTAGTATGCAATGAATAATGTGGCTTTTTATGATTGTTTTTCTCCCGTATATTGCCTCGTTTTTAGATTTCGATCAAGCAAATAAAAATAAACTTTTAAATTGCAGGGAATGTTACAGGAGAAGAAACAACGCATTTGTTGCAGAAAATTAGCCATTAAACTTGCTAAAGTAAAGAGAGAGAGAGTGTCCTAGGTAAATTTCCCTTGAGTTAATATTGAGTGTGCACATATATTTATACAAGTAGAAGAGGGTGATGTGTGTTCTCACAACCAATGTGGGACTAAAAACCCACTACTAACACTATTATCAACAGCCACCCTCTCCTCTCAAACTCATGTTGGATCAAACAAAGTGAGTTTGAGTATAAGAAACTAGAACCAATGAACATGTAAGACATTTGTGAAGAAATCAGCAAGCTCGTCGGCAGATGACACACGAGGAAGTAGAATTGTCTTATCATTAATGTGTTACCTCTTATTGTATATCCAAATACATTATTCATTATCTGATTGGTGTTGTAGATAGTGTATATCCAAATACTTATTCGTTATCTGTTTACTTGCCCTGGATTTGCATCTTTCTTTCCAAGAAATGCGTTTTTATTGCTGTGTTACCTCTTATTGTATAGGATTCAAATCCTCACAAATTAGATTCAGGTCCTCTCCAATTAGATAATAATGGGAGAGAGCCTAATTATCCAATTGCTACAGTCTATTCCTGCTTCAAGGGATAAAATGAATCCACATGGAATTTTCACTATTATAGAAGTAATTTTTTAAATAATAATAAAATCTTACGTGACCTTACCCTAGCCCATGAAATTGAAATGGACAACTAAAAATTAAGGTAATTGAGTTCTCTCTAATTACCACCTAATTGAAGTGGATCTCTATACAAAAGTATTTGTTGCATCTAGTTTGGTTCAAGGTAACAAATGTGATATTTTTTTTTCTACAGCAAGAAAATCTAATTATCAGCAAGAAATCTAATTATACTTCTCAATTAACATGTTTTAAACTAAAAATTTGATTACGATATTTAATTACTATGGAACTGTACAGTGCCCGTTATGGCTCCCTCGCACAAACATAAGAAATTGATTCTATGCACATTTTAAAATATGAACTATACACATTAAAAATATTATCATTCCCCTTTTGTGCAAATAATAGAGTGCATTATTTATTTCCTATGCACATAAGTTTCATGTAAATTGATTCTATCTCATTCGTTATATTAATTAATAGGATGGAGGAAGATCAAAATTTGCCCATTTTATATTTTCATCATGAGGACTTCGATGATAATCTTTTGATTCGCATAATTGGATTAGCTGTTGAGGTTGCAGATCTAATCACAAAGGTATCAGGACTTCTATCACAAGAGTTCATAGCAAATACACTTAGTTTCCGACATCCTCAATGTGGTATTACAGTTCTTGGTCTCACATACTTACAGTCCAAGGTGTATAATCATCCACAAGATTTTTGTAGAATTTACCGCATGTACCCAAATTGCTTCATGAAGTTATTCAATATCTTGAGAGAGTGGGGCCATATACAGGATACATACCATATTAGTGTTGAGGAGATGATCATTATTTTTCTTCTCACGGTTATCAGAATCAACGATACTCTATTGCAACTGATAGATTTGATCGTTCAAAATGAACTATCAATGTATGTTTCAATAAAGCATTATATGCCCTAGTATCTTTAGCATCATGCTTGATGGCACCACGTCTTCAATGTGAAGACCACTACTGCCAACTCCAAGTCATGTGTGGGATAATTCTGCTCATGAGTCATCAGCTGCAGCGAGATGTATGTCACTACTCTCTAGGTCTGCATCAAAATGCCTCCTAGACCCGATAACGATGCATCAGTGTAGACGACAAAGGTCTTATCACTGCTCGGAATGATCAACACTGGTGTTGTAGTCAACTTAATCTTCAAAGTATTAAAGGCCTTCTGGCACTCTGGTCCCCAAACAAACTGAACACCCTTCTTCATAAGGTGTGTCAGTGGTGCAACAATCTTTGAAAAGTCCTGAATGAACTTCCTGTAATAGCCGGCCAAACCCAAAAATCTATGAATCTCCGTAACGATCTTCGGTGGCTCCCAATCAAGAACTGCCTCTACTTTGGTTGGATCAACTGAAATGTCCTCCTTGCTAATCACATGGCCCAAAAATCTGACTTCGAAAAGCCAAAACTCACACTTGCTAAATTTAGCATAAAACTGGTGCTCCCGCAAAGTCTGCAATGTCAGATGATGATGTTGCTCATGCTCGACCTCTGATCTCAAATAAATGAGGGTGTTATTGATAAAAATGATCATAAACTGGTCCAAATATGGACGGAAAACCCGCTTCATCAAATTCATGAATACCGCGGGTGCATTGGTCAGTCCAAATGGCATGACAAGAAACTCGAAAGACCCATATCGAGTCAGAAAGGCGGTCTTGGGAATATCCATCTCCCGAACCCACAACTGATGATAGCCAGATCGAAGATCAATCTTCAAGAAATATTGTGCTCCCTACAACTGATCGAATAAGTCATCAATCCTCAGTAGTGGATACCTATTCTGGATGGTGACCTTATTCAACTTACGATAATCTATACACAAACGCATATTGTCGTCCTTCTTCTTCACAAAGAGGACTAGTGCTCTCCATGGAGAACGACTCCGGTGAATAAAATCCTGAGATAAAAGCTCATCTAACTGAATCTGTAGCTCCCTCATCTTAGTAGGTGCCATATGATAAGGTGCTCGGGATATTGGTGCGTGTCCGGCTGCAACTCGATACAAAACTCAACCTCTTTCATTGGAAGCAATCCAGGTATGTCCTGAAAGACATCCTGATACTCTGAGGCTACTCGTGTTTCGCTCAAATTAGCACCCCAATCCCGCATCATCACCTCCTCGACGTATGCTAGAAATAATTTCGCAAACTGGTTGCCCCGTGAGGTCGCTACAATCAACTCAGACCCATCGAATGCTCGCAAACTGACTATCTTCGTAAAACAGTCGATACTAAAATGGTAGAAAGATAACAATCCATACCAAGAATCACATCGAACCCGAACATACGTAGGATGATCAAATCGACCACAAACTCAGACTCATCTAAGCTGATAATACATCTACTACAAATGTTCTCTAGAAGCAATACATCACCTAGAGGGGTGGAAACTGACAAATAAACATTTAGAGGCTATGCAACTAGCTGGAGTCTAATCATGAAATCATAGGAGATGAAAAATGCGAAGCTCCTGAATCGAAAAGAATACGGGTTAGGAAGGAGTTCACAAGGAACATACATTCCACAACGGTCCCACTCGCATCATGATCACGCGGTACGACTGCATAAACTCTGCCTAAAGCTGTGGTCTGTTGCGCCTAAGTGTCTAGAATGTATGGGACTATCTTGTTGGACCCTGGGGGGTGAATAGAGTCAATGCTAATCTAATTCCGATTTTAAGCTAATTAAAAACTTTCTTGATTAATTAATTCTTGCAAAAGATATATGAGTGAGTTATGAGCAAAATAAATATACACAAAGCAAACTCAAACGCAATAATATGACCATGGAGTTTAGACCTTCCATCCAACGTCTCCGCTCCCCACTCCTGAGGAGAACCCACTATCACGACACAACCAGTTTGGAAGCCGGAATTTCTCTACACACTCGGTTTTCTAGTTCATCGAAAACTCTACAAGACACTCACAATGAACATACACAAACTACAACCTCAAGTGTTGGTCCTCACGTATCGCCTCCCTCAAGTGCTCGGCTTTACTACCTCTCACTAGGATTTACTGCCGACACCACTCCTCTCGGTATTGACTACGTCCTCACCACATACTCCTCTCGGTGTAAATATGTATTACAAAGTTATTCTCACAAATAAAGCTCAAGTACAATGATTTGTTCTCTACCAATGAATAAGAACATTATGAAGCTCACTCTCACTAAATCACTCACCACAACCCAACAATATATTGTATGAATAATATTAAAAGCTCAATTGAGGTGTGAGTGATAAATGAGAATAATAAAATTTTACCTCAAATAGAACTAGCTAAGATATGAACATGAAAATCAAATAATAAATAAGCTAGATAAATGAGTTAGATATCTTCTCTATAAACACAAGGAGTTTTAGGAATGATGATGAGGAAGAATTACTCAATTGAAATTAAGAGCCTCCTTGTGAAAAACTTCTCTTTTGAAATAAAACTTAAAACAAGGCTAAAACACCTCTTAAACACTTATAAAACTTGTTAAAATAATTTTCTTGGTTGGTTGGAAACTTGAATGCAATGGGGTATTTATAGCAACCCAAAACATCACTAAAAACACAAGTAAAAAGACCAAAAACCCATTAGAAAATAAAACAGGGAACTAACCATTACTGTGCAACGGCTATCTTGGCGGTCGACCGCAGCGCCATGGCCGGTCGACCGCGAAAGGCTGAAAAACACAACTGGGTCTCTGGACAATTTGCGGTCGACCGTCGCCACCATTCCAATTGACCACGAACAACTGAAAAACCAGAGTTGGTCTCTGGATAATGTACGGTCGACCGCAGCGACATACGCGGTCGACCGAAAACTGATATATGAAAACAACAGGTTTGAAAATGGACTTTGAGCACATGTAAAAAATAATAAATGTTATCCAAAATTTGTGAAACTTTGGGAAAACTTTATAAACATAAGAATAGACATGTTTGAAAAGAAATTTTTGGAATTTCATTTGTAAAAAAATCATCATTTTTGCAAAGTGTACATAATACGTGTTTTACATGAAACTTAAAAAATGAATTTTGACAAGTAGAAATATGTTAAAACTTCATGAAATGTTTTTATACATATTATAAAGCATGAAAGTAATATAAACAAGTGCAATAAACTAATATTGCATTGTTTTAACAAATAAACTCATTTTGTAAGAGAAATAAAAATTGTGTGTGTATATATATATATTGAGCTTGAAATATATTCACACAATATACGTTACAAAATTACTAATATACCTAAGTGATTACGAACACGGCTTGATCTTGAATCTTTAATTCTTTGATATGAACCTGTAACAAGCTATAATCAGTAGGAAACAAGTTAGCTATAAATTATTTGTAAAATCATCAAAACAAGAGAAGAGTGTAGGCTCAAAAACTAGAGTCCTAACAATCTCCCCCTTTTTGATGATGACAAACAATTTATGAAATATATATGAAATGGAAATACAAACTCATAAATAAACCACAAACCAAATCATTTCTCCCCCTTTTGGCAACATCAAAATGGGGAATATACTACATTAGAGTAAACCTCCCCCTACATTTATGCACAGGTTAGAAAATATGTATAGGCAAAAACTCCCCTCTGTCAAAATGCATGAGTGATATTGAAGATAAGCCATAAGAAATTCACACTCAAGAGCCAAGCACACAAGGTAAGCATATAAATGCTTCTCTCCATAAAGTACATGTATATTCATAAAATAAATATGACCCAATCACTACATTTTTAAGGACCATCCACATAAAAAATCACAACAACACAAAAAAGATAGTGTTGGTCATAAGATTCATCATTTAATTCCATAACCACCATCACATTGTTTACTACATGATGTTTATAGAAACTCATAAACTAGCATCCATCATAACCACAAAATCATACAAAAGTTTAGTTCCACCAAAAAGCTCACATAGTTTTAAACAAGTGTAAGTAAAAGTTATTACAACTTAAGTTTGTCAACTAAAACATAGTTCAAAATATGAAAAGTGTCCACAAAACATAAGAAGACACATCAATCACCACCATCAGAAGAGCCATCACCATCAGATCCTGTCTCTGAGCCAGATTCTTCATCAGAACCGTCGTTAGAACTAGAAGCTGAGCCGAAACCAGAGCCAGAAATAGAAACTGGAGCCGAAATCCCAAGGGACTGACGCTGGAGCTTGAGGATCTCCCTCACGTCCCGCTGGAGGCTGGAAACTCTAGCATCTAAACTGTCTAATCGATGAACTACCTCGCTACCCGGAATAGGAGTTGTGCGAGTACGAGGATGAGGCCTGGAGCTAGAGGAAGGAGTTCTGGATGAAGATGCACCAGAAGAGGGGATAGCAACCAATGTAGGGGCAGATATGGGTGCATCAAGATGCATCCTAGTGAGGGTTGTCTTATCAAAGAATTCTTTACTAGGTTCTGCCTTAGGTTCATTGGAAAGATCAACACCGAAGTGTTTGAAGATAATGGTAAGGAAGGACCCAAAAGGTAGGAACTTATGTTTACTAAGCATATTCTCTAAGAAGACACTCCCCCAATTTACCCTGGCATGAGCAAAGATAGCATAAACGGCATTGACTTTGTCCAGAGCAAAATGATCGAAACTCCCAGTTTTAGGAATTAAATTGTGGGCAATGATCTTGGTAACTATTTTAGTAGAGGGACTCAAAGTGTTATTATTCATGGGATATGAGTAACCAGGGCGAAACATCACAGAATCAACAAAAGGATAATTTCGTTCAATGGTCATAAGGTCAACATAGGTTCTAAGAGCCCTATTACCGTCAGCAGTAATGAAAACAGTAGAATTTGAATAAAATAGATAAACGAGAAAAGAATAGGTAGGCTCCTTATTCTTATAATCTAATAACTTATAGAGGCCAATATATGCAAAAAGTTTAGGGATATTACAGGACACTAGATCATCATAATTTATAGTCCTACCAGATAAAATTTTCAATTTGCATAATTCCCTATACTTGGGAACAAGATGAGGAAATCTAAGGTAGTCCTCATAGTGAATGGCATTAGGCAAAGGGTCTCTATCAGTCTTAGATCTCTTCTTGGGGGGCATTATGATCAAGAAAATCTAAGCAACAATAGATTAAACAAGGAACCCTAAAACAACTTAGAACAAACCCTAGAGGAACTAAAAAAGATAGAGGATATACCCAGGTTGATAGAGAGATCCCGAGGAAGAAGAGTGGTGTTAACGCGGACGACCAGAGTTGGAACGACGGTAGACCGTGAGAGAGGAGCTAGGAGTTAGGGTTTGAGGAGAGAAATTTTGGAACGAATGAAATGAGAGAGAGAGAGAGGGATCAGGCTCATATGAGAAAAAAATGCAATGGTCCAGATACGTTTAGGCAGAGGATAGATGGTGGAGATCGAATCAGGTCACAGAAACCAAAACCCAAACCTGAAAAAAAATTGGGTTCAGTTTTAATCCTGTACGGTCAACCGCACTGGGTGCGGCGGTCGACCGCAAAAAGTCTAGTGACTAAACCAAAAAATAATTCTTCGTCTGGTCGACCGCCGAGTCACTCTTGGTCAACTGCAGAAGATCCAGAATCATATCATACATGAAAATTTTACAAAATTTTAAAACTTGTTTCAATAATCTCAACTATTTATATATTAATAATATGTACAAGAGATCAGAAAATATATTCAATATGTAATTCATGAAAATTTCATATATAAAATATTTTAATTGCAAATAACATTTGAAAGCATGAAAATAAAAAACAACCAAAACTCATATTATTTGAAAATTTGAAATTAAGCACATTTTGGTACCCAATTTTTTTCGGTACCAATAGGATTAGGGACATAACCCCTATCATTTAAATTCAAGGCCCTTGGGTTACGAACACATTTGGACGTGTATGGTGCACGAGTACGGTCAAAACAAAATTCATATACATAACCTTTTTGATTGT